AAAGGATGCTTCATGACCAGCTTTAGAAATATATCTGACTTTTGATTTTCATTTCCTTGTTTTAGTTCTCTTTATAAAACAATTGTCTTTTTTAGAGTAGCATTCCAGTTTTGAATAGGAAGGAGACCCATGTTCATCTAGGATCAGATTTCCAAGGCCCCATTTTAGAAACAAGCATAACTCAAATCATGCCGTGCTTAAGAGCATTCCATGAAGAGCAATAGAAGCTTTGCAAACTATGGTCAGGTGGCAGATTGCATGACCATTAGCCTGAGAAACATTAGGTGGGTTTCTCCTTTGTCCACAAAGGAGTGGCACATAAGAATTATCAAAAAGAGTGGTGGCACAAGTGCTACAAACTCTGGTTGAACTGCGATCCCTGCAAAGGTGTTTCCATAAAGAAAGAAAACCTCAAGAATTGCCTTTACCTGGTGGCTCCCAAGGTGCTTCTTTCTACGAGGACTTCTTGAGGCTCTTCCAGGTAGACTGCCACTGCCACTTACAAGTATATTTAAAGATGCTGGCCCTGAAGTGCTTAGAATCAAAGATACATTAATCTTTCATTTCCAAGAAGTTTGCCATATAACCTTATTTCACCATTCCCTTTCAGGACCCAATACTGTAGACAGCAAACTTGCATTAACATTGGTTGATTCATTTTCACGTGTGAGGTATCAGAGAAATAAAGCCAATAAACAGACATTTCTGGTATAGTGTATTAATTCTTAATCTGTCCTTTTGACTTTCTATGATTTCAGTGACCTATGAAAAACCACAGTCTAAAAGTGTTAAGTGGAAAATTTCAGAAATAAAAATTTTTAGGCTTTACATAACTTTCATTGTTATAATTTTTCTATTTTAATTGCTGTTGTCAGTCTTTTATCATGTCTAATTCATCAAGTACACTGTATTATAGGAATGCATGTATAAGAAAAACATAGACATATAAGGTCCAATATTATCCTTGCTTGCAGGCATCCAGGGGGGTTTTGGAATGTATCTCTTGAAGAGGATACTATATTTGAACATTTTAATAAAGCATTTTATGGATTAATTTTTAAAGTAAATGGGTATTCAGATATATTGTCAATATTAAATATGTCAGAAAAAGGAAGAAATAGCCAAGAATCTTTTGAATATAGTTTTCATGACATACAACTGTCTTTGTAGGATAATTTCTCCAGACTATAGTGATTAGCCGATTACACGAAAAAATGAATATATAGCTGTTTGTATATAAAGATCAAAGTGGTAACTTTGAAGTTTTTTTTTCCAGTAAAAGGCACATTAACTGGAAAGAAGCTAAGTGTTATCAAGGGTCAAAGGACACAGAGTGTATAACTGGCCCCGTGGGGAATCAAATCCTTGCCCTTGTACCATGTTTATAGCACTCCCACAAGTTTAGATAACTGGCTGCAAAGATGCCATTTAGTATCTCAGCTCTGGTAAGCATGGTCTCTTGCAAACGCAGCCGCCTTCAAGTCCTTACTGAGTAAGATTTGTTCCCAGCCAATAAATTTCTCTGGAATGAATAGGAATGGATTGTAATTTTTTAAAGCATTGAAAAGTCTCTTTTTTTTCTGGAAGTTTCCTAAGCTTGAAAGCCATGATTTTTCTCTGTGAGGTGATCTACCTGATGATCTTGGCTTAGACAGTCCTAGCTACTCTTGGGCAATGACTAGGTCTCATTTCTTTTTATAAAGCCCACGTTATTTCTGTTAGGAGGGCTTGAGGGCTGAAAGGGGGAAAGGGGAACTGGATAGCTCAGGGGCCTAATGTCATCTGATCTCTCTCACCCTAAGACTTTTTTGAATTTGGCATCTCTTCACACAGTCTCAAAATACACACCAGCCCTTCAACAGTCATTGACAAGTGGGCTCTGGAGTCAGACTGCCTGAGTTGGAAGCCTGGATCCTCCAATCACTGTATGTGAGACTTATGAGAGGTTACTTCACCTCACTGTGCCTCAATTCTTTTACCTATACAATATGGATAAGAATTAATAACCTGGAAAGAATTCTGACAAACTTAAATGAGTCAATATATGCAAAACAGTCTGGAACATACAGTAAACATCTGATAATATTTTGTTATTAAAAATACCAGAAACCAAAGATTTTGAAGGACTCGGGACCTTCAGATAACAGGATAGATGGGAGGAGAAAGAGATGGAATAAGTGTGGGACATGAAATGTTGGCAGAGAGACCGTTTCTGAGTGAAAAACAATCTAATAAATTCCTGGACCCTGGGAAGACGAGGAATAAGTTTGTGGAGTTTGAAGTCAGGAAACAGAAAAACAAACATGTCAGAAGGGGAAAGGGAGGTGCTGATTTGGGGGTGAGGGAAAAAGAAGTCCTGCAGATAAAAAACAAAAGCTTTATTTTAAGGTTGTGCTCAAAGCTGAGCCTCATGCTTGGCGTACTTCTATTTGCCTTCTAGTTGGGTAACCCTCCTGATCTTCCCAAGACAGGCACAAAAATCCCTATAATGCCAGCTTGAAGCAAAGTTTCCATGCTCTTCCATGTTTTCTTTTTCTTGAAAACAATTTTAAAAAAAAAACTTTATTGTTTCTCTGTCAAACAGTTAACATCCTCTTTACCCACGCTGAGCTTCGAGGAGGGGGAGTCCCACCTGGCGATGTGATTAATCCCTGTGGAGTCAGGAAGCTGTTAGTCTCCCACCCAGCCTTGCAACTAGAGAGCCCAATGATCTAGCCTGGATTCTTATGCCTGGTCTGGACTTGCCCCTTTAGAAAGACTAAAACAGTCTGCAGTGGGGGGCCACGCGGCATTTTCCCACACCCTACATTCAGCAAACCCTATTTTTTAAAGTAACATGAATACTGCTTTCCTTTAGCAAAGGTTACCTTCAGAGTTTCCTTACATGCTATATTTCTTGACTCTGTGATTTGATACCTAAAAACTAGATGTGTGTCTGAAATTTTAGCTTTTTACTAATGAGCTCACTTGCCCTTTTCTAGTTATGAAATGTTAAATTTCAGACAGATTTAGGAAGATCTGAAGAGTTTTACTGCTCTTCCACAAATTCTTAAAATATTAAAAAGAGGTAAGATTTTGTTTGTTGGAATTGTCAAGTTTTGAATTCTTGGAAAATGTAATTTCTATGAGGGTATATATCAAATTTGAATTAATGAGCACATTCAATCCCAAACGCCCAGTTTGGGTTTTGAGAGGAGGTGGTGGTTGGTTTTCTCTATAATCCCTAATTTTCTTTATTTAGGGTGACTGGGTTCCTCAAACAGTCTGTGTCTATTATAAAGCTCACCAGAAGTCTAAAAGGTTAAGGAATGTAAAGAGGTCACTCCTGTATTGAAATTAACAAAACCCACCAATATATAAGGAAATAATTACAAAATTGCAAGAATGGCTCAGAAATGGTGAGTTCCGGCATAGTGGGGAAAAAAAAATTTTTTTTTTTTGTTGGTACAAGTTTTCTTAGAAGACACAAAACATTTCTTCATTTCAAGAGAAAAGGAAACAAACCCCTCAGATGACACTCCCCACACTGGCCTTTAGGTACACGGAACCCAGTTTATGAACTACAGGAAAGTAAGCAGCTTCGGGACATATTCTAAAGTGCTCTTTGCACTACAAGATGCCCTTAGTTTTGCGTACTGACACCCTTTCACATACATGCTTCAAGGGGCGCCCTACTTAAGGCTAAATCGCTTTTGCCCCACTCTTTTAAATCCTGTTGTCTTTCCCTTTGTTCTGAGGAGAAATGGAGGCGAACAGCTTAGGCGCAAGGAAATATTCTTCAGTGAATGAGCGAATGAATGAAACCGGGTCTCAACGACGGAGACTGAGGAGCACGGAGGAACGTTTTCCTCCCTTAGCGAATGCCGAGTCGCAAATTCAGTAACTGGGCAGCCAGGGCAGCCAAGATTTACTCAGTGTCTGTCTCAAATCAAACCACTTCTTCACAGGTGCAGTTTCAGTGAGCGGCCCCTGACTGGTACCAACTACTAGCCCCTGGGGCAAGAAGATGCCACCTGCCTCGAGGGTAGTTCCAGAGAGCTCTGCCCTGTCCTGTCCTGTTCTGTTCTGTTCTGTTCTGTTCAGGGCTAGTGGCTTCAAAGGCTGAGCTGGGGCAGCCCTAGGGCTTCACTCCTCCTTTCGTACTAGGGCTTGCACAGGTCTGATCCCTAATCCGGCGGCAAGTCATTTCCTTTTCTAACTCGATGAGGTTTTACAATAAATTGAGCAATAAAATCAAAAGAGCAGAAAGAGAAATACACAACTAGAAAAGTTTCTTGAGGGGCAACGAGGGCTCGGGCCAGGCTGTTTGGACTGCGGCAGAACGTGGGGCCCATACTGGTAGCGGTGCAGTGCTGGACCGGTTTTCCGGGGCTAGCAGCTGCCTGGAAAAAGTTTCCTGTGGAACTCTCGCCAGAGGGGGCGGGGGCAGCAGGAGCAGCAAGGACCCGAAAGGGGGCGGGAGGAAGGGGCTGAGAAGAAGGGGGCGGAGTGAAAGTCCAGAAAAGCCAGTTCCAGCTCACAAACCGTTATCGTCCTTCTGCACCTTCCTTGGCCGGTGGACCCTCAGGCTGCCTCCCTGCTTCGCCGCTGCCCACCTGGCGAAGTGACGCTGCACCAATCCCGTTCCTCCTGGGCCCTTCTCCTTGCACCGCCCCACTCTTCACCCTGAAAAGAGGTGCATCCAGCCCGGACAGACACCGCACTCTCGCCTTGGAGCACCCTTTTAGCGTCTCTCTTGCCAGGACTGAAGTTCAAACTCTTTTCTTGCCTTCGGCAAACTCTCTGCCTTTCCACCCCTCAGACTCCGGCTTCCCTCCGCTCTTACCTCTTTTACCCCCACTTTCCTCTCTCCCGCTCCACAAAACTGATCCCTACCTCTTTCTCCCGCCCTCCCATTTTCCCTCTCCAGACTTCACCTCCCTGTTTGATTCCACCTCAGACTCCCGGAGAGCGCTCCCAACTCAATTGCCTGAGCTCAGCTCCCTTTTCCTCTAGAAACCATGGCGGGACCTGGGGGCTGGAGAGACAAGGAGATCACGGATCTGGGCCACTTGCCGGTAAGTAGAGTCTATCACTCTCCAAGCGCTTTCTTTCACTGGGCTCTTAACACCAGGGGAGGGAGCAGACTCCCTCAAGCCAGGCTAAGGTGTGACTTCTTGGAAAGACTGGCTGGTACCAGAGGGGACCCTGGAAGCGGGCTGGGCGAATGGGTGCCCCCTGTACGAAGACAGACCCAAACTCCACCACAGGGCAAAGGGAAGAGGCAAGGTGGGGGAGGAGAGGCCGCAGTGAGCCCTAAAGAGTGGGACATTTTCTAAATGTAGCCAAATCCATTTTTTAAATTCCTTTTTTAAACTGGCATTTCAGTAGAGCCCTCTCTTAAATGCAAAGAGCCCTTGGACTCTCAGAAAGGGAAATAGCGAGCACTCTGCTGGAATGATCTCTAGGCATCTATATTTCAGGGCAGTGGCCTGCTTGCTTTGGGAAAAGCTAACTATTAACCATGAAGTTATAGGACTCCTCAAAGTCTCCGTTCTTTAATTTTACACTTACTTAGAATTTAAAGATTGTATTCTTGATGATGACAGACACCTTGCTTGTAAAGTCTGGGCATTGCTAAGGCCTGCCTGTGTAATTTTACACTAGTGGTGTATGTGGTGGTGAGAGGAAGTGATGTACATGTGTAACATTTTAGCAAGTTGTTCTCATCCATTACTAAAACAAATTTAAATAAAAAATTAAGTGACAGACATTAGAATTGTGGTCATGGATGTAGCTTCATGAAACAAAGTCACAGAGCTTATTAAAGTTCATTGGCTCCCACCCTGCATGTACCTGAAATCCCTTCCTTCCTATGTGTACACAAGATTTCTGGAATATGGAAGTTTTAGTTGATGATTCCCTTTCTAAACAGAACTCTCCTATTCAGAAAGATTAGCTCCCCAGTAAGAGTGTAACATCAAAGAATGAAATGGTATCCTTCAGCATTTTCAGTGTATAGTGGAAGAAGAATAAAAAGCAAAGTAGGGCAGATATGTGAAACCACACTTAGACAAACTGAAATAAACCCCTTTCTAAAAATGCCTAAAGAGGGGAATGGAAAAACCTCATGGAAATGATAGGGCAAGGAATTCTAAATGCAAGGAGAAAAATAAAAATTTTATTTCCACAAAAAATGGGGAGTAGGGAATGGTCTAGACTAACTGACCCAGTCATGGCCCTGGTGGACACAAAAATTTGATGAGAGCCCAAGGAGATAAGCAGAAAGGCTACAATCTTTCCATGGCAGTTCAGTGGAATATTGGCTTTCTGGAAGTTGTGTGGGGGTGAAAATGAGTGGGGAAGAGAGAAAGATGAGGTAGGTTTGCAGTGTAAAGGAAGTAAAAAGAAGACACAGACCTTAGGGCACTGATGTTAGGCTTTGCTTCATAAACCTTATAAAAGTTTCACAAGGTTCTCAGCTTCTAAAACTTCCTAAAGAGCTGGGGATTTAGCTCAGTGGTTTCGCTGCATGCTTTGCAAGCACAAGGTCCCTAGTTTGATCCCCGGTACCAAAAATAAATAAATAAAGGCACCCAAAAGTTCTTAAATTTTATGCAGGAACCATTTGTTTTCACTATCTGAGCAAATTATGCATAATTCTCCTCTCTCCCCAAACACCCAGACTCAAATCCTAAGGAATCTAGCAGAAGAGCAGCATGCCCTTCAGAATTTCCTTTATGTCTTAATTTTAGAGATGTGAAAATTATTGTTGCTTTGGTTACTCACATATATTTCAGTAATCTTGGATTTTCTTCATGTGTGAGTTGTTTCCTGAGCCTTTGGAGCATTAAAAAAATGAGGAGATAAAAAGACATCTAAACGGTGTATAAGTTTACAATTGATGCAAAGGAGAAATGACAGAGCAAACCTGCATGTGGTGGTTTCCCTTGCAGTAATGATCCTCCATAGAACACCATATGAAATTCAGAATATTGCCATCTGTACCAAGTACAGGATAACATTTTGGCAACAGCCAAATAATGAGGACAGATTCAAACCTTAGACAGTCAAGTTGATCAAACAAGAATCTTGCAGAGTATAGAAGTACAGTATAATTAAGTGTGAGTCTAGTTTAAGTTTGATCAATTATGTGCCCTGTAGCTAAATGACCACAAGGCAAAAACTCTCGCAACAGGACGAGTTTGCTGTGCATATTGGGATTTAAAGAAAGGGAGGGAAGTTACCTGGTATTTTTATTAGATAGATAATATTTCCTAGCCTGAAATATTAAACAGGAATGAAAGTTGGGAAAGTGTGGAGGGGGAAGAAAATGATATAACTTTTACAAATAAAAGTTAATTTTCATATAATTATAAATGTTTTTTCAATAATGCCTATAGATATAAAATAAGAGAGTTGACATAACTATGAACAATTAAAGGGTCATCATGCTAGTTAATTAATGGGCTGCTGTAATTTTTCCCAATTTTCTATTGAATAAGTATTTCCTATGGGTAGAAAGCAAACATGAAAGTGCAGAGAATTATAAAACCGTATACCTTTATACATATCTTTATATTATGTGAGTGTGTATTTGTGTATTTTTCCACCATATTTGCCAGCGATATCCAGAGGTATGTACTCCCCCCATCTGTGTGTGTGTGTGTGTGTGTGTGTGTGTGTGACTGTAAACCATTTCTTCATCTCCAAATCTGGCAAGCCTTGCACTATGTCCCTTCGCCTTCCATACCCAGTATGGTAATACATTTCTCATGGCTGTGCCCTTGGCATTTGCCAATGTCATGTGTAGTCCTAATCTGTAATGGATTAGACAGTTCTTCAAGACAGTAGTGGTAGTGGCAGTAGTGGCAGTAATCTGAAGTAGTATGTGATCCCAAAATATACTTGAATTACATTTGGTTTATATTTAAATATACCTGCCCACTCTCTTGGTCTTCTACCACCCAGGAAACCTGCTTTCCACATTCACTCATAAGAAAGTTCCTTCCTTACCATGTGCCTTAGCTCCTGGTGTGAAACACATTTATTTTTAAGTCCACAAGGGTTTAACCATTCACATATAAAGCATCTCCTCAGCTTGACACTGTACTTCAGTCTCCTTAAAGTATTTTTTCTAGTTTCTAGAGCAGTGTGTTTTCTAAATTAGCACACAAAAACATTGTACAAAAATCATCTGGGGATCTGAAGGATTTATCCCAGGAAATTCTGAATTAATAATTCCATTTTGGGTCCAAAGGAAACTGTACTTTAAACAGGGTTCCCCAGATGATGCTCAAGTAGGGAGAGTCCATGAAATGCAGTTTGAGAAGCATTGATCTACAGGAAGAAATTTTTTTTTCCTAAATTCTCCACTGGAATTGCGAGGCCCATTTCTCCTACTATCTCTATTTCTCAAGAGTTATCCTATCTTATCCACCATGTTTAGGGTCTGTCTCTAGAAAATGTTTTTATAAAATCACTGTATCTAATATTAAACATTAAAGAAGAAAAGCCTCTGCTGTTTTCTTGGTAGTATGTGTTCGCTTTTCTTTTGCTTCCTGACTACTGATATACGTTAATTCATTCTCCTTGTTTATCACCCTAAAATTGAAATTTCTTGTTAGCTAGGTTGACCACTTCCTGGTTCAATTATCTTCTTAAACATTGCCATATTTGGATTTGTTGATCAGAATCAGCTTTAAAGGAGTCTTCCTTGACCAGTAAATACTGCCTTCTAGTGGTACTGTTTTCTTCCCTTTAGCCCACCCTCAGGAAAATTACCTCTATCAAGGGGCTCATTCTTTCCTTCTCTTGAATTCAGAAGGCAGAAACAACTTTTTAAAATTCTAGGCTTCTGGGGGCATCCAGATAGGACTGTCAAATTTCAGGAGATTCTTTATAGTCATATAGAAAATATGGCAAAAATATTTGTCCAAAATACTATGATTCAGGAATGTCTTAAAACAAACTTTTAGTAATATCTCTTTTTTAGAAAAAGCTCTAGAACTTGGGGATTCTACTTCACTCACCACCGAGTTTATCCAATTGAGATGCCAAAGAACACCACATTGATAATCTCTACATCGATAAAACAATCAAAAACAGAAATATTTTCCTCGTCTGATTTTCTTATCTAAAGAGAGGACCACATAATATGGTAATACCTCTAACATGGACTTTGTATTGTCATAGTGACCCAAAACAGAGTTGCTTTTCAATGCTTCCTACCTTGAGAGTCCCGAATAAAGTTGCTCTGTTTGAAATTGGAAAATATAATGTAGATATCGGGCATTATTAACTTAATAGTTAGCAGAGCTGCTTCCCTCTTCTTTCTCAATTTGCCAATCATTTAGCCTGGAAAGATAGTAGCATGGAGATGCAGAATAAAAAAATTACATAAAATCAAATAAAAATGTTCTAGAATAGATAAGTAGTAGGTTAAGATGCCTCTTAAAACAGGAAAGTTTAAAAATTATTATATTAAATTTAAGCATGAAGGGTATTAAGATGGTTTGATTATTTGTCAGTAGAAAAAATTTCCATTTAAGGTGAATATAGGTAATTTTAAGGCCTCCATAATTTATGCAAGCAGTTTACTATTCTAGTAATTCTCTTGGTTTCTCTTTTGAGAAATTAGATACCTGAGTTCAAATATGAATATCAGGTGAATATATGAATTAAAAGCTAGGAACAGGATAAAGAAATTTAAGATCATGTTGAAAGATTAAGAAATGAAGGTTTCATGGACAATACAGTAATTCTCAAATATATGGTATATTTTTTAGCTAAAATTCAGTCTTAACTGCAACGATGAATGGTTTACTAATAGGCATCACCTAGCAGGTTTGATTCTTTTGAAATGCTGTTTCTTCAGAATTATTTGTCTAACATGTCTCAATAATATCCTTCAAAGAGATTTATAAAGTGTTAAATATTTTAATCTGGTGCTCAGTGACACCTTTATTGCCTGACTTTTCCCCATAAATCTTGCAATGAATTATAACAAAAGTGATATGCTTAATATCAATGGCACAGCAACATTATATTTTCACTTCTCAAATCCTAAAAAATGTACACATTTTCATGAGACATGTACTCCTTGAACTATTTGGTAATAGTTACAACTTAATGTGTTGTGAAATTAATTTTGATTTTTTTGAGAAAGCAAACTGCTGGGCTGCTAATCTAACAATGTTTGTATCAGTTCCCTGGAAACATCTAAATTTCGGAATGATAGAATTTGATATTTTTTATATAGAATTTTAGAGCTGAGAAATCACCTAGCACAGCAGCTTCATTTTTTTATATGTAAAAACTAAATCCTAGAGAAAGTAAAAATTGACCCAGAGTTGTATAGTTATTTAATGGAAAACGTGGGCTAAAACTTAAGTCTCTTGATTATCTGACTTGTTGAAATATACTTGTTCACCTAAGTAATCCCAGAATTGTGTCATGTTTCTATCACAGTTTTGCTAGATTACATGAATATTATGCCAGTTTTAAGTTTGCAATTTCATTCTATATATTTTATATGCTCAGTATTCTTTCTATTTAGCTCACATTTTTCAGTGATCAAATGTTTTTTAAGAGGATTAAACATTCATGTTTATATGTAGTGTGAATTTACAAGAATTTGCCAATGTTTTACCATTCTGAAAATAAATTGGCATCTCCTCATACCTCATATAAGTGTTGCTAAAGTGAATTCTTATTCTAAAGTTTCCAATAGTGATAAAGTTCAGGGAACTGTGTTTTGTGGCAAACAAGGAAAAGATATCCATATTTAAAGGTAAGGACATAATGCTTGTAGATGAATATGGAAATCTCAGTATACCGTTCATCAATATTATATTTTCTTTCTTATGATGCCATATTTAAATGTCAGTCTCAGAAAAAGACCATTTTTGCCATGGAAAGACATTCAGCTGTTGCAAAGATGAACATTAAAAAAAAACAACACTCTATATTATTTTTTAAATGATGTTATTTTAATGTCATGATCTTGCATTGTTATTCAGATATTGAGATCATATTCCTTTTAGATTTAATGTAATGTAAATAAGTCATCTAGACTTTGTACCCAGTCCTCATTGCTGTTTTAAGCTTTTTACCTGTCTGTTTAGCACTCAAAAACAGATGTTGAAAGATTGCTTCCATAGCAAGTAGATGGACTTATTCCATTTAATTATCTTTCTAATTTTATCATGAATATATCTCAGCTTTTCATAACTGTATACAGTTTAAATTTTTGATTAGTTAGAAAATTGTAAATGCCCATATCACTATTTGTTTTCTACAATTGACCACACTTGGTCCAAGGAGATTCTGGAACGTCTATTATTTTGGTAAGTGACACTAGGTTCTTCCAATGTAAATTATAAAGAAACAAGACAGATTGGAATTTTACCAGAAAAATTTAACAATTTTTCTTCTATGTTTTTTCTAGGATCCAACTGGAATATTCTCACTCGATAAGACCATTGGCCTTGGTACTTATGGAAGAATCTATTTGGTAAGTAGAATGAGATTATTCATTCTTCACTTCTAGTAACAACAATAATTGTAAATCAGGGCTGGATACTTAGCTCAGTGGTTCTGCCACTTGCTTCAAAAGTGCAAGGTCCCGAGTTTGATACCTGGTACCAACAAAACAAAAGTATTGTAAATCAAACCTAAGCCCCGCACTGCAAGGGAAATATGCCAGTACATACCTTTTCACTTTTAGAGATGAATCAAATTAAGATATCTCAGTGACATCTGAAGAAATCATTGCTTATTATTGCCAAAGAAATTGATTAGATAAGCTACAGTGAACCAAACATCCCAAATCATACCCCAAACTTATTAGCAGAAAATTAAAGTCACCATTAGAAAAGGGAACTCTTTTAAGTAAGATGTAACCAAATAAAAATATCATTTGTTTTATAGTACACATCCCTGCCATTCTAGTTACCCATATTCAACTTTAAACTGAAAGATATTAAAAGGAAATTTTTCCTAACATTCTATATCAAACTATATACAGATGTGTATATGTGTGTGGCAAAGTTTGATGAACAATCTAACACAAAACCTTGCACATATTTAATGATAATATATTTACACACTAAATATTTACCAGGCACCGTTGGTCTCTTGGATGAAATGATGAAAAAAAAAAGATAATGGTTCTACTATTCTAGGGTTTAGGGTCTAGAAATGTATAAATGTGTGTATGTCTTGGAAAGCAAAGTTTAAAGGAGCCACAGATACTACATGTGCACATTAAAAACTGCACAATATCAAATGTATTATTTGTCTGTAAGAAAATTCCTACTGGTATAAAAGCATAGATTGGGGCTTTATCTGGAATGGAGGATCAATGTTGAACTCATACTCCCTGGAAATTGACAGTTAAACTGATGCAAATAGGACACATATGAGGTAATCAAGCAAAAGTGTGGCTGTGGAGGAAGATGTTAATGCATTCTAGGTAGGATGCAGGGGTAGTCTTAAGGCCTGGCTTGGGGGTTTTGCTGCCTTAATAATAGCCCTATCTCCTTGGTCAACTACTCTTCTCCCACTATCTAATATGGGAAATTTTAATTTTTTCCATCTTAACACTGTATAAGTTCTATACAAATTCAGTGTTCTTCTTTCCTAGGCCTGTCCCTCAAAACTAAAATTACTGTACGATGGCTGATCCTTATTGTGTAGTGGTGTCCCGGTATTGGCCAAGCAGAAGGGTCTTCTTTCTAGTTCAGATGAGAGTACTCTGTACTTGCCAAGATTTACAGCTCTGGATTTACATCTATCCAGAAGGGGCTTCTTTTTCATTTCATGTCCCCAGTTTGCAGTAGAGAGATGATTTTTAAATCTTGCAGAAAAGCACATACAGCATAGAAGGTGCATAGCAAAAATAGCATGTGGACAGGTCCTGCAAGCAGAAAGAATGTTGGTGAGTATAGGGAATATCAACAGTGCAAGTTTTATGATTAAAGTAGTTTTATTCAAACCATTTGACCTTATCTATGAAATAAAACTGATAGCTATGGACAATGATATAATAAGACATAAATATATCATTTATGGTATCTTAGTTGCATTAAATACTGGATGATTAGTTACAAGTTGTATGATCTTGGTCAGTTCTGCCACCTTATATATAGATATCTACAATGTATTCATAGCCAGAAGTTCCATTTCTGTATGGCAGATTTAAAATTTCCATGGCTCTGTGCATATTTTAATTCCTGAAGTGTGTGTGTGTGTGTGTGTGTGTGTGCGCTTATGTTTCTTCTGACTTGAAGGCACAGAGTTGTCTCCAACACTAAAATTAGAAATTATCTCACAAACAAGGTAAGAAGCAAAAGTGGTATCAGAAAACACAAGATGATTTTTTAAATAATCATTTATCAGAACAGTGAGGCAGCAACAAGAAAAAAAGTAAAGAGGGCAGACAGGTAAGTTGAGTATGAGAATTTCATTTTTTAAAACCAAGGATTTGTTTATTAGAAAACAAAACAAAATTTTCATGACCAAATAATAAGAGAGTAACAATAATTATTGCACTGTGTATCGTTATCTTCAAGGTATAAACCAAAAAGATTCTTACAAAAAACAAACAGGTAATAACATTAACTTCTTTTTTAATGAACATAAAAAATAAATACAAATCAGGATATATTGAGGAATAGTATATACAAAATCAATTTTACTTTTTTAAAATTTATGGGTTTGAACAAACAATTAAATTTTTCAATACATATTCAATTAAAGACAGTGTACCTTCAAGAAACTTTCCATTGCTTCACTGCATGATGGCCCAGTTAGTGTGCTGTGGCTATAATTGCCATATATTTTTCACATATAACAAAACTTACAATACTACTATATTTTCTACGATTATTCCTTTTTCCTATACTCACTACTACTATTTATGTTTAGACAGTCAGTTATCTTTTAGAGTAATTAAAAATAATCTTCCATTTAACCTCTTGTGGATATTTTATTTCTGTGTGTAAATTCCTGTTTCTAATTGGTATAAAGAACTGAAGCCTAAAGAACTTCCCTAACATATTTTTATAGTTCAGGACTTCCAGTAATTGATTCTCTTTGTGTAAGAAAAAAAACAACAACAACAGAAAACTATTTCTCCTTTAGTTTTGAAAGATTTTTACACTGGGCATAGGATTCTGGGTTGATAATTGTTTTCTTTCTTTCTGCACTGTAAAGATAGGACTCCATTGTCTTCTGGTTTACATAGTTGCTGGGGTCTCCCGTTTTTCTTATCTTTGCTTCAGTGTAGGTTTCCTCTGGCCACTTTTACGACTTTTTTCTTCATCTCTGTTATTCAGCAGTTTAAATATGAAACATTGCACGGAGTTGCTATTTTGCTGCCGATGTTAGTGTGTGTGCCTGTGTTTATGGAATATTTGTCAACGATAATATCAGGTCAGGATTAAAGACCTTTGGTGTTGTGGGAACCTCTTGAAAATGTAGTTCAACGTATTTTATTATTTTACGAAGGTTTTCGGTTTTTCATCTCTTTAGCTATTTATTCTGCCTTGTTCTCTTCTTTTGTAAATCCAACTTATGTGTAATAAATCATTTAATATTATCTAACTGCCCTTGCATTCCCTGTTTTGGAGAGTTTCGTGTTTGTGTGTGTGTGTGTGTGTGTGTGTGCGCTCCCATTCTCCTTTCATGTTTCAATTTATATCTATCTTCACTTCAACTGACTCTCAGATGTTTGAAGTTGAATGATGTGAATATTAAAGTATTCTTCAGCTCTATTACTGTTTTCATTTTTAGCGTGTCTATTGAAATATTTATAATTAATATCTTTGCTGGAATTCACCATTGTTCATGTATGTTTTTCATATTTTCACTAAAGCCTTTCATGTCATAGTTTTGTTAAATCCTACGTCTGAAAGTTTCAACATCTAAGTCATCTTTGAGGCTATTTATGTTTACTGCCTTGTTTCTTGAAAGGGGGCTTTTGTTGTGTGTGTTTTCTTTTTTAGGCATCTCAGAATTTCACTTTGAGTGTCAGACATAATATACAGAATAGTATAAATTGAAAGAAATTGTACTTGTGCACTGAAATTAGCACGTTACTTCAGCTGATTTGCTAGTTAATCTGGGAAGTTAAATCACTTTAAAAGGAGATAAACTGGATTATTTTGTTGCTGTGGTTACCTCCAGTAATCTGCCATCTTCAGATTTCTCTACATCCTTATGCTTAAAATGGGGGTCAGTTTACTGGGGGGTTGTCAATATTCATGCTTTATCCTCAACTATAAACTCTCCTGGCTCATGTGTGTGTCACAAAGCTTATCTCTCCATGCTCTGGCCTTCTAGGGGCATATTGCTATTGCTTCTTAGTGCTCCTTAGCCTGTTGGTGCTCAGCAAGGAGGAGTTCTTTGTTTTCCTGAATCAACTTCAGTTTTCACAGAACCTATGCCACTAAGTCATGGGAGTGGGCTTTTGTAGTTATTCTGCCCCTCTCAGGAGCAGGACAGACTTCTAATAATTTTGGCCCAGAAGTATTTATTACCCTGCCCCTGGAATTAGAGGACTTTATTTTTTTACCTTTCCACAATTGCAGTAGGTGGTGTATACCTGTGCCACAGAGAGAATAAGGGAATAGAATTTGCTGCCTTTCTCCCTAGGGTTTAGGACTTGTACTCTTTACAGTTAAAGGAACTGGACCTAGTTTCATGCCTTCCCCACTGTGATGGCTACTCTCCATTAGTGATGAATCATAAATTCATCTAGAAGAGCTTGTGTGTGTGTGTGTGTGTGTGTGTAAATTCCTCCTCTCTGTGTACATCAAAGTTAGGTACTGTCATGTAATCCCACAATTGTCTCTTAGCAATTTGTTTAAAATAATCGTAATATTTAAACCTGCTTCTTTGGTGACTTTGTCTTCCCTTTGCAGCCACAGGTGAGCCAGTACTCATGTGCCATCCTTCTTTGCAGGAATCTGTTTTCCTTCAGACTTGATATAGGTTGGTTGCTCTGACATTTCTGTATAGATAAAAGAAAATGGAGAACTTGTAGTTTATTCAGCTTTTTATTGTTAGGGTGAGAGTGGCATTCTTTCTGGATCTCACATCCTCATCAGAAGCAAGAAGTCCATGTCCATTCGCTTTAACTAAGTCTTCCTGAAGTGTTGTATGATGCTAGATTCAGTACACATTTGTAATTCCTAAGAATTTCCTGGTAACCTAGTCAGACCTGGATTTAGAGAACACTATCGTCAGATTACTACATAAGGTAGATGCATAGTGCCTTACATCAGAAACCTTTCTCTCTGTCACTTATTAACTTGAAACCCCTTTTCCATGTCCAAATAATTTCCTTGTGTTAAATGTTGGATATAGTGGTACTGTGCATTGATATCTATATTGATGTCACCCTCATTGGAAACAATTTGGTGTGTGCAGTAATTTATTTTAAAATACTCATCTTTGCTTGAAAATATATGGCAATATCGCAGATACAAAAAGTACACAGACTTTGTTTGCATTTTTTTATTTTCGCATATTAATTCCATTCCCTTCTTTTCTTTCCCCAGTCCAGGGTTGAAAGGAGGACAGGGGAATTGGGGAAAAAGTAAGAACCAAGATAGATTATGTAAAGGTACAAGTTTCCAAAGATGAATGTCATTATATTGTATACCTAAAATGTTCCAATAAACTTAGTGAAAAAAATAGTACACAGACATTCATCACAGCAGAAACATAGTGTGCGGTGGGGAAGACAACCTGCTTTGAACCTGGCAGACCTTATTCAGTGCTTACTTGCCATTAATGAGTGATGACCTTACACAAAGCACCTAATCTCTGAATATAAATGTCCTTATTTATAAGATTATTCAACTAATATCTCAAAAGATCTGGTAAAATATAGAAACAATATAAAATTTTTGACTTATGGTATATATGCCAATTAAAAAGCAGCCATTTCTATATTGTGATTTTTGAAAAGAAAAATTTAGTAACACTCTAAATGGCAAAAAAGAAAAATGCAAATGCATTAGGTAGTCAATATATTATCATTCTATAAAGCAATATTATATAATAACAGAATTAAGCTTAAGATTTTTT